GGTGGAAGATGTCCCTGCTCATGGCAGGGGGGTTGGAACCAGATGAGCTTTAAGGTCCCTTCCAACCCTTACCATTCTTTCATTCTAGGATTCTATGATTCTATGATCTGAAAGGTTCCTGAAGACCCCAGAAGGATTTGTTGGATTTGTTTCTGCAAATACTGCCACAAATGTACTCGAGTCATTAACTTCTGTGCTGCTTATTGTCGTGGAGAGATGGAAGTTACTGGTCACGTGTCTCTCAGTCCAAATGCAGACTCCTAGCCAAGCTTGGATATGCTTCTGGCTGATGAATATGCACTAGAAACACATAACATGGCGTAACACGGGTGGTCTTCGTCCGGAAGGCAGCCATGTTCTAGAAGGAACAGAAAATAAGACACACCAGGGAACCTGGAGTAAGGATTCTTGTCGTGTGCTTTCCTCCTTTTAAAAAAGCTTACTAACGAGCTGGGTATCTTCAGCTAGCCTGCTCGCCTCTTCTTTTTATCTCCCTCATCATCCTCTTCAGTTGTATCTGCATTATTGGCCGCTAGTAGATAGGTGCTAGTGATGGAGATACGCTAGTTAAGAGCTCTTTACTGCACATTTATCACGTCCAAAATGAAGTGCTCATACCCCGTATTTTGTAATCCCTTTTCCAAACTCCGTTCAATGGCAGGATCCTGATCTCAGGGGTCGATATGGCCTTAAAGTCAAGTCCGCAGAAACTTCAAGGCAGAAGGTATTTATAAGATATTGGGCAGAGAAACAGTGTAGCCAAAGTACAACACCAAAAAACATTTTTTCCAGACTCAATCTTTATGTGTAAAGGAAAACAACTTAAATTGTCAGGAGCATATTCCTAATTGGTTGTTTCAGTAAAAGCAGCTCATTATTTGAAGTGAGAAACTCTCCCCCAACCTACAAAAACTGGGGATTTACGGTACAATCCCCATCTGGCTCGGGATGACATCAAGACTTTTCAGCACGGTATCCAAAACAGCCAGCAGCCCAGTGATTTGGACATCAATGTAGTGTGCAGAAGCCATGGCTGAATTCTTCCTTTCCCTGTTTCAAAGAAGACTGTAACCTCCATCTGCCATCTCTCAAGGAAGTTTTGTCTGTACCCTGCCTTGCTGAGGACTCTGACAAGACTTCTCCCTCCATCTCAGCAAAGAGCTTTGACAAATGGGGTGTTCTTTTATCGTGTAGGAGATCTTTATGTTAAAAGCAGCTCAGATAAAGGCCTGACTATTTGTGATTGAGCGTAGAGGCTCATTTACTTTGCTGTTTTTAGAGGCAGGATCCCAGTCAATGTTTCTTGTAGTCAAGGAGAATTTGAGTTCAAAGGAATTTAAATTGCATCCCAACAAAGCACTATGGCACGGAAACAGGATAGACAGTTTGGATGCGTGTTCTGGATCCATTTTATAAAGAGAGGGCTTGGGGCCTGTGCGGTACTAAAAAGATTTCCAGTGATTTCAAGAACTATAACCAGATCTCTTGAGTGAAGTTTCCTACTATATAGAACTGCTAGATGTATGCTTAATTGCACAATTTCCTTTGGAAGTGAAAAAAACCCCCAACTACTATCATTAGCCTGCGGCTTTGCAGTCTTGGCATAATACCTGGGTAAGCACCAAGCAACTGGAACACACTCTGCCTTTTTTCACATGTTTGCATAGAGAAGGTGTGACTAGTGGTAACAGCTTTGGCACCTTGAATAGTGTTTATCATTGCCAGAAAAAATAAATCCTATACTAACAAAAAATGTTGGGTGTATGCCACTTACAGGTTGATAATGCTCTACCTCTGATGAGACGATAGTCTACGTGTTCCTTTTAGAAGGCAAAAGATATCCACGTGCTTGCTTCTGTACTCCTTGTTTAGCCGAGTTCCTTTCTTGCTTGTCTTCCATTTTCTTCGTGTGCTAAACAAGAAGAACCAACCTTGAGCTGCCTACACCAAGGAAGGAGTTAACTCAGCTCAAGGAGTTGAGTTGAGGCGTTCACTCATTCGATTACTGTGAGAAAGAAGGTGCTGGCACTTTGGACGACAAAAAAAGGGATGTTAGCCATGGAAGAGATGAGCTCCTCTGTCCCTGTGGCAGCAGAGGGAGAAGGAGAAGTACCCCTGAGAAAATCTGTAATAGCCGTGAAACCAGCTTGTCTGTTAGAACCAGCAAATGCTAATGTTCCAGGTTCGCTTTTGAAGACACTTCTAGGTTTTCTCTGAGGATCTGAACTGAGAAGCCAGAGATGGAGGGGTGTTTAGGGCAGCCAACTCTCACTCTACATCAAGGTGTCCACAACAGCACGCAGCATATGGCGGATGCGGTAGCTTCCATACAAGCACATGCAGGTCACCCAGAGCATTTTACCATCCCATGAAGTTTATAGGCCAATATTCACCAAGCAGGAATTTTGTGGGAGTACTAGCTTGCCTGAGAAGGTAGTTAATATGCCAAACATCAAGTTTAAACCAAAGCTTGCTCTTCTGGAACAACTGTTTTTTTCCCCAAGAGTGGCATTACGGAGTGTCATCCAGCCTCTTCGAACCTTGAGGCTTCCAGCTGTGTGTTGCGTCACACACAAATGAGCGAACATGATATATTTGCGTGGGTTTGGAAGTGAGCCGTAAAAAGGGCAT